CGAACCGGGCCCCGGAGGCCGCACAGCAGCCCAAGACGGGGCAGGCACCACAGGCACCGCAGACAAGCAACCCGGCGACCCTGGCGCGGGCCCTGGAGCGGTGCGGGTGGGGTGGTCCTTCCCGCCCGTCTGGGGCTGCCGCGGGTAATATATTGTTGGGTGGGCTTGTGTCATCGGCCCACGCAATTTTTTTGGTCTAGTGGGCGGTGCGCCGCCAACCCACCTCCAGGGTCCGGGTTCGATCCTCCCAGAGCCCATTTTGTGTTTTCCCAAGGTTTTGGTAGACACAAAATTTTCACCTGTTGCGAAACTTGTTGTCGTAAAAAAGTGCAAAAAACAAATGTGTTTTTCGTGCACTCTATACGTCAACGACACGCGTCAGGGTAGCACTACCGTATGTTCAATACGTGTGCACTTTCAACAACCGATTTCAATAAAGATTTCAACAATCTTTATGAAAAACCGGGTTTTTTGGGGGGCTGAAAATAAGGGTGTTTTCGACCTTATTGCCCTCTATTAGTACGTTTATTGTACGTTCTTGCACCCGATTCTGTATGTAACAAATACTCAGGACCTGGGTGCGTTCGAACGTAACAATAACCGTTTCTTACGACTTTCTGTCCGATTGACAAAAAGCCCGACTTGGTCCTGCAGAGGTTTTTTCACCACTTCAGGCCAATGTTGCGGAAATTAATAATTTTTTATTAAATAAAAAATTACGTCGAACTTTGTGTATCCGCGTTATGCGTTTATATCTTCTGGGCTGTATGTCCTCCCAAAGATATAAATCGGATCACAAGCCGACTTTGTTTGTATGTGGAACAACGTTCGCAAGTCCGAAAATTGCCGTATAGGTGCTGTACAGAGTGTTGTACTTACCTATACGACTGCTCGTTAGACTTGTGTTCGGCAGCTGTTGCTCCACGTACTATTTTTCGTAAATAGCCCCTGCCTTGAGCTATTTAGAACGCCCGTAATCGGTTCGACGGGCTTTTGTTTGTTACAAAATTTTCACCTCGAGTCACTTTCTTCGAACTCGCAGTTTTGCCGAAAATGTACTTCGGTAAAACCTTTGAGTGTCGATATCTCACGGGTGAACTCTCGGTTTTGCGATTTAATTTTTGCTAAAAAGAACTGCGGTCCGGCAGGTATTTTAGCGTACAATTTTCAGATTTCTACACACTTTTTTCGTATGTCAACAAGGGTCCGAAGGTTCCCAGGTGACACCCAAAATACACCAAATTTCTCCCTTATTTAGGACAAATTTGGTATATCTCCCGTGTGTGAAATTGTGTTTTAAAAGTAATTACCACACTGAATAGAGCCTGGTAATACGGTCTCTACACGGTGTAGTTTTGTTTATAAAAAAGTTTGGCCCCTAGAAAAATTGATCCTTTTTCTTGACTTCTGAGGGTCAAGAAGTGCACTCTAGGGGAACTTTTGGGCTGTTCCTGGTGTCACCACGGATCAATTTTGGACTCAGTATTTTGAGTCGGGGGGTGCTTTTTACTCCTCTCGGTCGGCTTAATTCAAAGCTGAAAACCGTTCGAAGGGATAAAAAGAAATTCGAAAAACTTTTGCAGCACGCAGGTCCCAAATGTGGCTCCCTGAGGGGTCCTGCGGTGACAAGGTGTCGGTGTATGTGTTTTTTCAAATCTCGCCAATCACCCCAGAAACACTCACAAACACGCAACGTCGCACGTAACAACCTCAAAAAGCGCAATGGAACAATCGGAGCAATATAGTACAGGAAAATGTATCAAAAATTTAAAACCCAACGGGTGGGTTCTTCTTTAATTTTAACCTTGCTTTTATCCCTTCTATGTGCTTAATTCAAACCTATTTTATCGATTATTTGCGTTCCGAAAAGTGATCAACTCTCAATCTCCTTCCCTCTACCACCCGCCGCGTTGTGGAGGTGAGAGCTACCTCGAATAACAGCTCCCAGGGCCTCTGCCACCATAAAGCCAAATGCTGACGCCATAGTGATGCGGTGGTCCTGGTTGCCAAGTATTCTTAGTAACCACTTCCGAATTTCCTTATGGAGAGCACCATTGCTCGGCATGAGAAACGGAACAAAATCGAGACCATTGGCTACCGCCCAGTAATTGTACTTCTGTTGTTTCTCTCTGAACCTTTCCTGTGCCGCTCTCATAGGAAAATCCGTTGCTTCCTGAACCCTGGACAATGTCACACGCCCTGGGTATGTAACAGTGACGTCTGTCATGGAGTCTGTATTCAGCCTTGGTATAAATATAACCGGACGCTTTTTTCTCCCTTGGTCCAGTTGCGGTTCTGCACTGCAGTGAAATCCACATAGGCTCAAACTGTTGGCTATAGTATTGTTGACCATTTCATGCCTAACAGTGCGTGGATTGCCTTGCAGACGTGCGCACGTATTGACATGAAGGTGTGAAGCATCTGCTCCACATATGCACTTTTGACCTTCTGGCAATATCCTCATAAGGAGGCGTTCCGTGAAGAAGACTGTAAATACTCTGCCCCTGGAATCCACACTTGTGGGTCCGTAAGAACCCTTCCCGCTCCAGGGGCCGAGCTGGCCGAGAACAGTTGACGATCAGCACCTTCCAAGTTGTTGTAGAGATCGTTTAACCGTTCCTCTTCCAACTCTTCCGCATTTTCACGTTGGAGTCTTTTGAACCCTGCGCACGCGTGTGTGAATTCTGCAACATCACATTCTCGTCCTATACCACACACCCCATCTCGAATCGGGAGGGCGGCAATGCCACGCACTCTCTTTGTGAGACCCACTTTTTTTTCGTTGTTATCCTTAAATGGTTTCTCACCAGATCCAGGATGAGTATTTGACGTCTATACATTTCCAGAGGTTCCGACGCATTATATCCCACAAACACAGTTTTACATACCTCCATCCAGCTGGGCCATTCCTTTTTGTAGAGGTAACGTTTTGTGGGTATCCTGATATCCTACCTGCTGCGGTTGCGGCCGTTTCATCTCTAAATGGGAAGATCCTTTCTGATTCGTGTTGTTTTGACCTTTTTTTTCGTTATTCTTTTCAAGTGCCACGCCCGCCCGTGCCGCCACTATTTGGTAGATTTCACTGAACAACTCATCCCGTTTTGCCCACATTCCATCAATGGCCTGGCCCCCATACATTGATCCAGAAAAGACATGTCATTACACTGACCGTTGGTGCATTCCTTCATTTTACTTGATCGTCCTTGTCTGGCAGAGTGGTACGGCTTGTATCTACATTTCCTCATTATTCATACCGACCAGCGACGGAGCTACTACATCACGCTGGTGATTTTCATTGTTGTTTTTGTGTGATGTACTGCTATTCCTATTTTGCTTCAATCCGAAACCCTGCTTCGTATTTTCACTCCCTCAGTAGCGCTCGTGTCGCGTCCCGCAATTTTATTTGTACCCATGGAATCAAACCAGGCCCCCCTTTATACCCCTTGACCCCACGATCGCTCGCAAGTATTAAAGGCACATTTCCACGGCTTCCTCCCTCAAGAATATTTTCTTTTTTATTATCGTGTTTTTATCATTAACGCCCATTTGGTGGCCTCCATTTCGATTTTGTTGAATCCTTGGTATCGTGTATATGCCCCATCGCGGCGCCAATGTCTAGTACCAAGTTCATTAATTGGGAAGCTAAATTTCCAGAACTGCAGCACCGAATCCGGCTTAGTTCGGGCTGCACCGTGATACGGTCGCCACTTGTTGGGTTGGCGTGGTTAAGTACCTTTCCCATTACAAAACGCGCCTTATTTGTAAGGCGCTTAACGACGCCATCCCAATAAATTGCACGGTCTAGTACCCGGTTTCCCGGACTGGGGAATCCAATGCCAAACGCTTTAGTTTTCCCGGGAACTGCGTCATGGTCCGGACAGAACGCGACCTGGCCTTCCAGGGATCAAGCAGAAGGGCCTCACCAGAGACCGCTCCTTGGGACACCGTGCTGCTGGTGTCGCCCACGCCCGTGGGTTGAAAGATCCCCATGCCCAGAGGGGTTTAGTGGGTATGGGTGGGTGTCTCCACCGCTAAGTCCCACATAATCCGCCCTAGTACGGCAGATGTGTGTAGAAGCAGTTCCTCCTCCGTTCTCCGGGCAGTGAATGCAGGTCGTAAAATGGAACGATGAACGAAAAAAAAAACAGGAGGGGTAGAAATGGGAAAGAATGGAGTACGCCGTCGTCCACGAGCGTGGTGACATTGACGTTGTCGAGGTTGGCCGTCTCAATTTCTTTCTCCCGGCTGCAGGCAGCCCACGCACGGGTCTCGAGGAGGAGGATTTCCGCACTGTTTTTGAGAATTATTTCTTCATTATTTCTGGCTTCTTGCATTTTGGGATAGTATGCTCTGAATTTGTTGCGCCATGTAATGTTGTAAGTATTGTTTATAAAATGTTGTGTGCAATTGACGCGAATATTTTCGTTTTGTTTTTCCTCACCTTTGCCTCTCTGTCCACCATCCCCTGGGCATGTTTTAACTTTATCCCTCTCCTTCCTCCCACAATGCCCAAAAATGTTTTTACTCCATTTATCCGTCCTCTTCCAAATTATCCCCACGAACTCGTCAAGCAATGCTAGCATGATCTTAGCCCGCTCTTTTTCCCACCAGCAGTATCTTCCTACAGAGTTGCTCGATTTTCTCAAAGGATTCAGGAAAGCGAATGGGATGGCTCACCTCTGAAGCGTATTGCAGGGCCCGGCAGCTGCGCTGGCCACCCTCCCCCACGCACGAACAGACAGTGAGGAAGTAAAGGGTGCTTTATGATCAAGGTTTAGTTCTTCCACTTTTCATTCTTATGTTTTTTTTTACTTGTTTTTTTTCTTAGATGAGGAGTGCCCACGGAAGGACGAAACGAGGGGAAGTGACGGCTCAAGGGCGACCGGCTTTTCGGTTGGAGTGGCTTCATGTTGGTTTTTTTTTGTCGTCACACGTTTTTGGGGGCGAAGATGCGGGTTTCTTGTCTTTTTCCCCGTCATCCGCGTCACTTGAAGAACTCACACGATCATTCTTGACCCTGGAATTATACTTGTCGGAGCACCACTTAATTAGTGTTTTTGTACCAGCGTATAACCGACTCTTCCCCCAGTGGTCTAAATCCGAAATTTTCTGAACGACCCCTCCCCGATTGGCCCCGTAGCCCATCTTTCTTAACATGCGTCTTCGGTCCTTTGGATTCGCACGCCAAATATCATAACATTTCTCAAGTATTTCAAATTTGTCAGCAGGTTTATTAATTTCTGCGTCTTCTTCTTTGGGTAGTTCGTCAACCGCATCTTTGAACGTATCTATATTCTCCTCCCGTCTGAGTTCGCTGTCGTTTTTCTCGAAGCTTGCGTGCAAGTCTTTTAGTTCGTTCTCCGTTTTAACTTTTTCTCGTTCATGCTTTGTTACGCGTTTATCTGCTTTTTTTTGCCCCTTCGTTGGCCCCTTTCGGTCTTCACCCGTCTTGCCTGCGTTTTTGTTTGCTTGACGCATTTCTCTTCTTCCTTTGTTTAGCTTCTCAGTGTTCTTTGTCAATTTGTTGTTCAGTGTACCTTTTTTGCAGTCGTACTGCTTTCGGTTTGCTTTCCTTTCTTCAGCTGCGCTACCGTGGAACAATTTGTCCCCACACTTTTCGCCAACTTTCTTACTGGCACGCCTGCCTAGAAACTCGGCATACTCCTTCCCCATTATTTTGCCCATCAGAAACTCAGTTGCATCGCCGGCGCCCGTGGAACATGCATATTGAAGGTTTTTACGGCTGTAGTAGACACACAACGCTGCTCCCCCTTTTATGAAGAACTCTTGAGTGAGCATCCCTTTAACACCAAATGCTCTCAGCTGCTGCAGACATGACCCTCCGCCAGAACAATAAAAAATTGCCACGTCTGCACCGACGTGTACATACCATGGAAGGCTACAGTAAGCCTCGTAGATCCCCCTTCCTTTTTCAAAGACGACGATAGCGCCATCTTTAACGTCTTCCCACTTGGGCCAGTTCAACGTGGGCAACCCCCACGCCCCCCCCCTCAGAAACGCATCCTTATTGTATTTCTCTAGTTCCTGCAAACACCTTGTCATTTGACCATGGTATTTCGGGTTGCTCTGAATGCACTTTGCCACCTCCCTTCTGCCATCGGCTGCACTCCAGATGTCTGTGCTCTCCTTCTGCTCGGGGGTTAGGGAATCAGAGAGAGCCGTATAGAGGCAGTCATTCTTTCCAGAGAAGTCATCCCGGACCCCGTCTTTCGGGTTAGCCGCCTCGTAGTGGTATCTTTCTACCCCATTCTCCTCTGAACCTAGCACCCTGTACCGCTTCAACACGATCGGCTCCCCTCGGTAGCACGAACCTGCGGAAGCCAACAGGTGGCCCTCCCCATCTACCACCTGTACCCAGAGACGTTTTTCATGAAAGAAGCAGGACAGGCATCTGAAATCCCCTTCCTCCCCGTTGAGGATCTGGTTCACTTCCTCGTCTGTGATGTCCTGCTCTTTTTTTGTAGGTGGCTTCTTGTTTTTGCCCCCTCCCCTTGGCCTTGGCGGCGCCCGGTTCGCGCAAGCATGGGCTCCACAAAGCGCGAGGTGCTTCCCTCTGGCTTCCCTTGCTTCCTCGGTCAAATCCCTGCACATGTAATTCACAACATCCCCCTCCATCTGCTTGCAGACGAACCCGAGCACTTCTCGGAGATACACGCTGCGCGTGGATTCCATCAAATGCCCTTCAAGGAATTCAGTGAGAGAGACCTTTATTTTTTCTTCAGTCCTTGCCTCCGCTTGACAGGGGCCATCGGGTCCCTCTGAACTGTAAAACTCGCCCGAATTGGCCTTTGCTGACCCGGCCTCTGGAATAGAGGGCAGGTTGCTCGGCTTCGGTCCCAAGGACGGCTTCCTGTGAGGCTCTATAACTTGAGCATAGTCGGGGTTTTCCGTCTTTGAGTTCAACGCGGCTTTGGAGTTGGCTTGCCCTTTCTCACTGAGTTCCACGCTCTTGCACTTCGCTCTGGTTCCGTCACTTTCAGCCTTCGCCTTCACGTCCGCCAAGCTCCTTTCCAAGCTCTCCTTGAACACCCCCTGGTTTATATATTCTCCATACTTCCCATAAAACCTTTCAGGCAATTGAGTGACCTCCATTGTTTTCCACATAGCCTTTAAACCAGTTACTACGGGTTTTGCATTTCTCGGCAGGAAGGCCGCCGAAAGATTTTTCCCCACCCCGTCCAAGAAGTCGCGAAAACGTGGGTTGGTAAATACCTCCTTCAAACCAGGGATGTCAGACACAACAAAACGAGTTGTACGCATTTCTTTGTGGCTTACATATTTTGCTCCTTCGCGGAGATTCCACTCCCAATCAAAATTCTGGTTTGCCACATCCACTTTAATGCAAAGCTTCACGGTGTTGTTGGTGTACACGAATGTTTTGGTAGAGGATTGCACCGCTTCACGAACCTTCGGTTCCAACCAGTTCCACCCAAGATGCACATTTTCCGCAAATGAGTCAACGACATATGAGGCCGCCGCATTGCCGACGTGCTTCATCGCCTCATCTTTAAAGGTTTTTAAAAAAGCCTCAGAGAAGCTACCACCAATGCCGTTCAGCTTACCAAAATCAGGGCACGTTGTATTGGTTCCGAAACACCCCAACTCCTTGCCAATAGCTGATGGACCACTAAGAATCACGCATGTGATTCCGGAAACCGCCTTCTGAATACAATAATCATTCCAATCAACTTCGTTTTTCGTGATTAACGTTTCCCCACACTTAAAAAGATCTGTGATGCCTCCCTGAATGAACGCAGTACTGAGCCCTCCACCTCCCCCGTAGTACATCAACACGGCCCCCAGCGCCAGTTGCGCAGCACCAAGAACAAGCAACTTCAAAGCACTGCGCCAAGGTATTTCCTTCCGCTCCTGCAGCATGTAAATCCACTGCAATCCGTCGCACGAAAGGCGATCCAGCACGTCACGGAGGATAGGATCGTTGGATCCGGGCACTAACTCGTACATCGTACTGGACCCCTCAAGATCACTTAGAACGACAACCTCTTTATTATCCTCTTTACATTTCTTCAGGCTTTCCAGGCATTGATCGATTAAGGACATATGCATCCGATAAACATTAGCAAAGTGCACCCCATTTGTAATTGTCTTTTCCGCTCCTGGCTTGGACAAAAAGCTAACGAAAAGGGTTACGTCAGATACTTCCACTTCCTCAATAAGTTTCCGTGCGTTTGCAAACGCCTCTCTCGCTTTATCATATGCCGTTGAGGACGACTTCAGGAGCGCCATCCCCTTGTAGTAATACGCCAGGTAGCAAAAATGAGGGTCCAGCTGAATGGCCGCGTCGTAGGCCTCAGCGGCTTTGCCCGCCCTTTCTTCCTGCAAGAGACGGTTCCCCATGCAAATGTAGTAATGCGGATTGCGGATGAGCCTCTCACCACGCCTTGCATCCGATCGAACCTCTTCACAAAAGTCCTCAAAGAGATCTAGTACCTCCTTCCGATTGTCAAGATCCCCAAGTTCCACCGGCAGCGCCTCCAACCAGAGGGCAAAACGCTCCTTTAACGCCTTTCCTTCATAGCACTCCGTGTCTGCTGCATCGACTTGGGCGCACACCTCCTTGCCTGCAAAAACCTCCTCAAGAACGTCGTCGGAGTATGATTTTTTGCTTGCCTTTCGGAACCTCTCCTGAGCTTGCGCTTCACGCTCTCTATCAAACTGGCTCTTCAAAACCTCCAATATTTTATTACTATCCCTGCCGGCATCGTCCTCGGCCTCTTGCCTGGAGCTCGGGGCCGGTGGAGGCGCGTGCTCCTTCCGGTAGCGCTCCCACGCCGCCTCATAAAGTTTACCAGACATCTGATGTTCGACAAATTGTATCCAGTGCTTCCGAGCCTGGGTAACCTCTATGAGAAACTTCTGTCGTGCCTGCCCCTCATTCCCGGTTAGGACCTCCGATACCAGATTGCAGAACATCTTAAGAAGGTGGTCGCGGAATCTCATCCCTTCCACCTGATATCTCGCTCTGCGCAGCCTCTCCTTTTCCATCTGATCACGCTTGAGACGCACCTCGTTCGCCGTTCCGCCAGGGCTGAGGCCCGGGAAAAAGAGTTGGACCGTCCCTCGTCGGCCTTGTCGGCTCGTTCGCCCCGCATTTTGCAGCTCCACTCGAGAATTTTCCGGCATGAAGCCTACGGAAACATGCAGGCCCCCGTTCTTTTCAGCGTCTTCGGTGGGCTCATAATCGGCCCCGCGGCCAGCAATGTTGGTGGCAACGATGACTTCGCCAGGCCCAACCTTCTTCACGGAAAACTCTGCCTCTCCCGTGTTGGCATGTGTGCGGAGTGCAGGGAAGGCCTTGTTCATGTATTGGCATATAAATTTGACGTCGTTGATTGTTTCCACAATGATCAACACAGGACGGCCACCCCGCGCTATTCGGGAGGACTTTGTTATTAGCACCTCTAAAACGCCCTGGGCATCAGCGGTCACAACCGGCTCCAACTCCTTTGCAAGATACCTGGATTTGCTCGGACCTGCCCCTCCGGAACCCCAGGGTTCTTCCTCTGGTGCATGGACGAGTCTCTTGAACGGGGGAATTATAAGCATATTCAGGTCATAAACACGGTGAAGGAAGTCCTGCGTCGGCGCACTCCCCAAAGTGCCGGACGCTCCGATGATCCTGTTATATTGCTTGAAGTAGCCCACGTAGGATAGGAAACACGATACGAAAGTGGGAGGATCCACGGGAAGAGATTCTTTCATCTGCAGAAACTGATGAAGCCCCCTACCCCACACGGTATTGTGCTGCAGGACCCCCGCATTTTCGTAGTCCACCGGCACAATCTTGTCCTCGACCACAACGTAGTGTTTGCCTTTTTCGTAATGGAGAAGTGCCTCAACAGCGCTCTCGGCCAACTTCGTAATATTGCTTCTCACAAAGTCCTGGAGGTGGACCGGCACATGCAAGATATTCTGACCCTCAGTGAATTGGACCCCCTCTTCGTTTGCTTCTTCTTTCCAAAGGTCTCTGGTTATGCTTTTTGTCGCCAGTATAATCGATTTTTTCAACCACACGTTCACACTATCTTTCAGTTCTATACGGGTGTTTTCGTACGAGGGAGGTGAGTTCTTTGCTTGGGGTGTTTCATCCGTCTCCCCGCTGTTACCATCCGCTGCCTTACTGCCTTCAATCGTTTCCTCAAGATCACCCTGTATATCAACTCTTCCATTGTACACAGTGAATTTACCTTGAATAAAGTAGTACTTGCCGTCGTCACTATCCAGCACGAGATGATTGTGGTTAAAAGTGCAGGCGCGCCACATCACAGCCAATAGGGGAAGCAAGTGCGAAGTAGAAGGGCTGGGCTCCGAGAGCCGGACACTGGCACTTCGCTGGTCATACAGCAGGCTATCCACCTCGTCGATGAGGCACAGGTCGCACGGCCTACCCGCACGGACGCGATGTTTCGTGAAACTAGTGCGGAGCACATCGCCAATGAAATCGTCCGCACTCCCGTATACCACAGTCTTCTTATAGGCTATCATGCTGTTCTCTAACCGCTGTTCATGGCTCAGCGCCCCAACCGTCATGTTGTTGAACACCTTGTAGAAGCCCTCCATTTCCGTGGCGTCCCTCAAGGCCAGCACGGGGGAAGACACTACCACGTCGACCGTTCGGCCAACCATGGCGCAACAGGCAGCCAAGATCGCGTGGATGAGGGTTTTTCCCTGTCCAGTAAGAATCTGCGCCAGTGCGTTCTTCGCGCGACCCGCATAGAGAAAAAGCAGTAAAACAGCCGCACGCTGTGTTTCACGGAGTGTCTTCTTGAAATACACCTCCGCCGCATGCATGATCACCGTGGCAACCTCCACGAGTATAGGGAAAATCGTTCCGTGATCGCAGCGGCTGTTTGCAAGGTCAGGCAGCTCCCTCCGACACTCATTGAAGAGTACAGCCCAATTACTTATTTCATGGAGAGACCACTTCGAGATGGATTGGCTCTTCAGGTTCGAGCACTTGTTTCGGAGGTGGCTCCATTTACACAACAAGACGTCCGAATCATCCCTGTTCCCAGTTCTTTGGTCGAAGAGGTAAGCATAGACGGCTGACCCCCCCTCATGGGAGGCAGCCCACAGGCGGAATGCCTCCTCGAGTGTGGAATCAAGATGGGCTATGCCACTCTCCACCGATTCCCGCGCGATTTCCTTAATCATTGCCCCCCGGGTAAGCACAACGGACTCCGAGGCGAAGGCACCCTCGTTCACAAGAGCACAGGCTTTTCGAAGCCATTCGTCTACGCTTCGGATTTCATCGGAGCGGAGGGTGGTAAGCACCGCCTCGTCAAACGTGGTGTAGGAGCTGCGGTAGTCCATAAGAAGGTCCACAATCTCGACCAGGGTCACGCCTCCGCGGCTCCGCCACTCACCACCCTGCTCGGCATCGTGCTTTATTTTTTCCACGACACCGTCCAGCGCCTGGTGGAGACGATCCCACCCGAAACGCTTGCCCACGTCTAAGAGTGTTTCGGTGTCTGCGGAAGAAGTGCACTTATCAGCAAAGAGACAGTTGAATTTTAAGATCAGGCTCCAGCATTGCGATACGTGCAGCGTTGGAGCCGCAGAACAGCACCACTCAGCCTCTTCCGTCAGCGCCGAGGCACTTGTGTAAGGAGGCTTGCGGGCTGCAATCGTGCGCCAAACCTCCAGAAATGCCTTTTTATTGGGCTCTTTTTCCTTCAAGAAAAGACGGTATGGCTTGAAGTAGGCATAGTGCGGCCACTGGAGAAGGATAATGTTGTCAACCACCGCGTCCTGTTCTTCTGGGGAGAGCAGCTTGCCAACGGGGAGCGAGGCCACATAGTAACGAAGAACTTCCCGCGGCCAGCTCGTCAACGGCACTTTTTTTATAGTAGACCAGAGAGTGCCTCGTTCCGTAACCAGGTTCACACACCAAAGACTTTCCAATAAGTCTGTGCTTTCTCCGCATTCTTGAATTCCGCGCAACACACGGTATAGGAACACCAAACCGCGCAAACATGACATGGGTTTGAGCCGGCGCATCTTTTGATCGAGCGGGAGGTCCGTGGAATCGTGTTGCCACCCTGTAACACGTTCCCAAATGTCTTTTACCAGTTCCAGCTTTTGATAAGTAACTTCTCGGTCCATCCTTTGTGTCCATTGATAGAGCTGCGTCACCAGGTAGGGAAACCAACCAGGAGACAGCATCTGAGAAAAGTAAATCGGGGGCACACACTTGGAGAGGAGATCTGTGCAGCGGCATTCGCTTCTTTCTTGCTTAGAGGACTGCCTGCTGCCTTGTCGACGTCGGAAAATCCTATGGGAGACGACGCTCTTGAATCGCCTTTTCCCACATCCACCCACACCTCCACCGCCTATACTTCCAACTGAATCCTCAACGAACGGCGGCACGTAGAGGAGTTCCGTAAGGTATTTCGTCCCAAAGCATGAGAACCGGTGCAAAGGCGGTGGTTTCTCATACTCATCAAGAAAACACCCATCCACCCATTCTTCTTCCCCGTTGAACTCAGCATCCGCCTTCCCCACCCTTTCCACATCCCTCAACCCCTCTGAATCACAGTCATCGAACTCACCAAGGCAACACCTCAGTACACACTGAATAACCTGTCTGTATGCCTCGAGAGTCTGAGTCGCATAAAGCGGCAAAATTGTTTCGTAGGGTTTTGGTCCGTCGTCGGGGGGGGGCATCTTTCCAACTCCTTATTCGGCTCTGCTGTCCTTCCAGAAAAAAAATTTGAGAGGGCCAGCCAATTCACTTACTGCTACCAATAGCAATGACTCTTATTATTGAGTAGTTCTGATTCACTGGCTGGACAAAAATTGTGGCCATTTTCTATATTCCCTCATCACCAAGAGCAGCCGCGGGAGATTAAGGCCACACCCCCGCCGCCAAAGCATTCTTAAAAAAAAAAAAGATCGTCTTCCCGCTCAAGCAGAGAGGGCGGGAAGGACGAAAAGTCAAACCTGGTCATACAAAGCAGAGTTCGGGGTTAGGGTAACAGGGGGAGTAGCACCTAAGAGCACTGGAGCTACTATCTCACGAAATGCGCCTGGTTTTCCTCAGTTTCTGAAGACAAGGTGATTTGCAGTATTCTTTCCAGCTCGACATCAGCTGAGAGCTCGTCGATGAGTTCTTCTTGCCTATCTTTTTCGGCCTGTAAGGCGGTGACGCGCTCCCTTATAGACTCACACTTTTCACTGAAGGTCTCCAACTGCTTATCCAGGTCGGCATTTTCCTTTATTATCTCAGCGCGCCCTTGTTCGGTTCTTTCTTCCTCTGCTTTGGCTTCCTTCAGCGCCCGCAATGTTGCAACAAGGCCCACCAAGGCACGACCTAGTCTTTTCTGTGTCGCTGTTTCAGACTCATCGTCGGCGTCGGATTCTGATCTGTCAGGGTCGCCGCTGGGAGGGTCAATGCGTGCGCGCAGGAATAAAACAAGTAAAATGTAGAACTTCTTTCGTTTCACAAACGATGGCTCGATCTTGCTTAGTTGCATATGAAGGCGTAACACATACTTCAGGCGGCAATCAAGCACGTCGAGGGAGTCCAAAATCACAAGATTCCGGAAATACGAGAGAAACCCGAAAAGGCAGCGTTCTCTTTTTTTTTCGTCAGTCCAAGCATCATCTGTATAAACGCGTTTCTCCCATTTCAGTAGTGTAAGATAACTCCGCAAAGCATAATCGGCGACGCTTAAATCATCATCGTTCTGGAAAAATTCCTCAAACTCTGGATCAACCTTGCCATCAAAATACTTTTTTAACGCCCGTTCCGCTCCTTCCATAATTCCTTCCTTGAACTCGTCATATATGTGACTGCAGAAGGGTCATCAGGAAAGCGGAAGCAGATCGAAAAGGTCAAAGGGTCCGCCATAAAAAGCTGGACCCGCTGTGCACATAACAAAGTAAAGAAAAACACAGCCTCAGAGCGCGTAGGATATATATATATATATATATATATATAAAACCAACACAACGCAAAATAAATTAAAGGAACAAAACGAGAAAGAACCTCATAGGCTACGAGCCTCCTAACCCCATGAGCTCGTCTATACGCGCCTTATTTTCCGCAATTTGGGCCTCCAATTCCCTTTCTTCCTCTTGGAGTCGCTCCAGTTTCCGCTGAACTTCATTAATTGCCTTCCGTTTCTGCTCATTTTCACATTTGAGCTGCTTCAGTGTTCTAGGCGTCTGCTGGGCTTCGGCTTCATCCTGATCCATCATCAATCCGTCTCCTCTGTGTCTTCACGCACACCGATATTCAAGCCGAGTGAACGGTGTCGTATTAGGACCACCGTGCCTACCGTTCGACGCAGGGTGACAAGCCTAATAAAACAGAAAATGTAGAACGAAAAACGTGAATCCTTGGTCCCACGGACGAAAAGGGTCGACAACGCGAACGATGTGCCCGTGAATGCTGCCATGACATGGACATAAAGCTATTCAGCAAACTCATGGATAGACATTCTTTTTTTCCACAGGCCTCAGAGAGTGGCTTGTACCTCCACTCAGCCACCCCGAGTCTTCATAATCTCTTTGTTTGAAAAATTCACAGACACAATGAGTTAAAAAAAGACATTGGATGGTTTGCCCCTTCCCGAAAACGAATCCGATAAGGGAGTTCGAAAGAATGGCACAAAGCACAACTCTCAATATTTTTAAGCCTATTCAAAACCACTTCAAAAGCAGAACGCAGCTCCAAGTGAGGCAGAAGTTCGAAAAACCGGTATATGTCCACGCTCGACAGAGAAAATCCCCATCCCGAAAAAGAAAAACGATCAATCATGGAAGAACACATCCTATTCATCCACCATTTTGATAAAAAGAATTATTTGCCCATACGAGAAAATCACATACACCCGTTGGCTCTAATTATCACTAATATTAAGCGACATGGAACTAATTCAAATAACAATAGCGATGTATGTGTGTCTGTATGCAGCTCAACATTGTGAAGAGAGTTCGATGCGTTAAAAACGCCTTGATACTAATTGATATGAGGTTTAACAAAGAAAAAAAAACACAAAAATAAAAAAAACATGGTTAAACAGCGAAGGACCTCAAAATAATAAAAATTAGATTAATAAAAATGACATACCAAGATATCAAAAATTAGAACTCGGTTCCGCTTGGTGATGCCGGCCACCTCATCGCGGTGCCAGGGTCCAGCACCACGTATTGTCGGGGGAAGCCAAGCGCCAGCAGAGTTCGCCACTTGGAGAACTTTGCGGCGAAATGCTTCCGGCATCGCACAGTACCAGGACCCGCCGCGTCTTGCTGGGACACAGTATTATCCATGTCGGTCTTGGGGCGCGTGTTACCGCGCCATCAGCAGTATCATCCGCACCGAGTTACTGCTTAGTGGAAATGTGGAAGAGAATCCCGGCCCTACATTGAGGGGCATGCAATGGAACTCAGCTGGGCTAATACAAGCGAAACGCCTAGCCTTGGGTAAACAGCTCTACGGTGATGGTATC